AATAACACAAGTTCTTATCAAGGAAACACACACCTAAAATGTAGTTGAATTATTTCTTCTGCTTCCACTTCTTTCGCTGTCATTCGTGTTGGCGAATTTTGCTGCTTTTAAATAGTGGGGAAGTGAAGTGAATTTTCTGGCATTGTTTTTATTGTTGTTTGTTGATAAGAGAAACCCAACAAAAAATTCGCAATCAAATTTTGTACTATCTCAAACAAAAGTGAAAAAAAAAGCGAGAGCGAGAAAGCGAAAGTTATTTCTTATCACCTGTGTGGGTATTGGTGTAGTTATTAAAAATATAAATATTACTTTTGGCTTTCCATCACTGATCTCTCCGCGTGGACAATCTCATCCGTTCTCTCTCTCCCTATCTCTGTGTAGTGTGTTTTCTGTGATAATTATGTTTTTATTGCTGGTTTTTGTTGTATAATTATTATTATGTATTATTATTGGTGTTTTTTTGTTTTGTTCTCTGTGTATTGTGTACTCTTCTACACACTCTCCACGTCCGCCCTTCTTCCACTTCTCTCTCTCTCTCTCTCTCTCTCTCTCATTGTGTTAAGTGTGCGTTTAGCGATAAGATAGAGAGCGGACTCAAACGTGTGTGCTGCTGTCTGTCGACTACCTTAACATGGGAGACGGCGACGCCGCCAAGCGACGCGTGTGAGATTTTTTTTTGTTTGGAGCAGAAAAGAACCTTGAAATTAGCGGCATGGCCTGCAGGAGAAATACCACAAGCTACAGCAGTTGCAAAACTTGTGGCAGAGTCGGAAAACGCGTAGCCAAAGTGTGCAAATACAAGAATGGAATTTTTCTGAATGACTCTGTCGACTTGTGGAGATAAAATATTCTCCTGAAATTCCTATCTATCAACTCTTCGTTATAATCATGTTCGCACAATAATTTATTGGGTTCTAAACTGCTAATTTCCTCCCCGCACTTGCTACATTCCCGAACGCCTTCCAAAGTTGCTCCCCACTGCTGCTACAGTTCCGCCTCAGTGGCCGCTTCAAATGACGCGTTTTTGTCGCGTTTTAAAGCGCGCGCGCGTGTCTTTAATTAAGTCAAGATTTATAACCAGAGAATCCTCCCTCCAATAAATGAACTGCCGAAAGGCAATTCTGCAACGAGGAGAGCTCCCCCGAAAAGTGAAAGTGAAGCCTGCACCAGAAGTCGAAACGCCTATCGAAAGAACTTTAGGAACAAAATAAAATAAAATTCTATCAAGTAAAAGTAAAATAATCCCCCCCCCTTACATATGTATGTGTATGCAAATATGCAAATTTGTTACATATCAAGTTTAATAATTTATATAATTATTAACGTGAGTGACAAATACTTTCGTGTGGAGTTTTTTAAACTTGAAAATTGGTGGCGGCAGCTGCCATAAAAATGAAATTTATGAAAGGTCTCGGATTTTGCTCTCCCATATTCCCAGACGTTGCATTCTCCTCCGATGATCTCCAGTCATCTCAAGTCAGCCCATTCCCACAACTGGTTCTCGGGGCGGGAGTTCATTCATCCAAAATACGGAAAAAGTTTAACATTTGCATACATTTATTGACAACAAATGCTAATTGAGGGAGCAATCAAAGCAGGCAACAAGTTTTCGCGGCGTTAATGCGTTCATTTCATCAAAGAAAAAGCCACAGAAAGTGATTCATGTTCGAAAATCAAATCAATTTAGTGGGAGATTCCTTACTACCAAAATCAGTCGATTGAACAGAGAACAGAAAGCAACATACAGAACAGTAAAACAGTAGCAGCAGCTAACAGCAGAGGCGTTCAGCATCTTAACTATACAATGAATCAGATACTGACTACCCTACAGATGTGGATGATATGCCTTCAATGAGACACTTACTTGGCAATCAATTCCCTCATCTGTTGGACAGGTCCGAACTTTATATTCCCAGCCCTTCGCTAATATATCATTGATTGAGGATAGCGTGGGGACTTTTGAAGTATTTATTTGACTTTTTGGATGGGCTGTGCATGTTCACACGAGTGAGTATGTATTTGGTTGGTGTGTACTTTGGCCATTTGCCTAATGATGTCGTCTTTGCCGCCGCAAACTTTTGGTGGATGAATGGGGGGGCCAATTAAATGGAGAAATGTGTGGCAGTCGGCAGTCGTTGCTACGTTGCCACGTTGCTTAATTGCCCCATGCCGCAAGAAGACAAATGTCTTGACACACATCTGCATCCAATGAACACACACGAAGACACACAGAGGTGCAGCATTGGGAAGCACATCCTTCCTTCCTTTCTTCCTACCTTCCTTCCACTCAAGTGCTGACCCACAGCAAGAAAGACTGAGAGACGATTCCTTCGGTTAATTGTTGCAATGAAAACCGTGTTAAGTTCTTTCAGCCTTTGGGGCACATCCATTTACCTTTTGTTATTTGTTTTTATGTCGCAGCCACACATTCCATTGCATTCCCTTGCGTTCCATTGCGCCCTGATTAGCCCACTCTCCTTCTTTGTTTGCAATTAGTCAAATATTCTCTGCTGCCGTGGCACCACCTGCACATCTGGCAGCTTTCGAGGAGTCGGTTATACCCACCACCACCCCCAAGTGCTCGTGGGTGTGGTGTGACGTCAACATTTCCCAATAATTTATAAAGAAAGGGAAACACTTTGGCAGCTCGCAATTCTTCAATGCGATTAGATATTAGAGGCCCCGAAAGCGGCACGACTGAATGGAGATTTGCGATAACCAAAAACAAAACAATGTCAAAAAGAAAACACAGAACAAAGCAGAGATTCCAAAAATGTGTCGCAAAGGTTGCCACAGAAACTTTAATTTGCAGCAGGAAAAGTGTTTAGTCTTTTGACAAATTATTTACTGAAAGCTTGTTCAAATCTTTGCTCCGCTGTTGTTCCATTCTCCGCACTCCTATCTCCACAATCTCCTATCCTTCTAGCCCATCCTTCGCTTCAATTGCATGCGCTGATAAGTATGCTACGCATTTATAGCAACCTTCCTGCTGGTTGGTTGCTCCTCGGCGATGCTGTGAAAGTTACAGTAAACTTCTGAGACTGACATATGCCCTGGGATTGGGGTTTTTGCTTTCAACTAATTGACTCACTTGAGTGGAGGGGCGTGCAGTGGCGTGGAGTGAAGAGGTGTGATAAGCCAGCAGCGACACATGACACAGATATCCCTCTGGCCATGCATCGTCATACCCTTTATTTGCCTTTCAGTGCTCCTTCCTCTTTCCCTTAGGTTTTCCTTGAATTATTCATGATTCCCCGACGCACTTCCCGCCCCACCGATTCCCACCGCTTATCGGCCCTGCTTAAGGTTTGCATTTAACGAATAAAAAAAGAAAATAAAACAAAAGAGAGACTAAATAAAATATGATTTTGCGAAAAGAACTCTCGATTGTGTGGGTGTGAGCACTTGAGCAATCTCGAGTCTCGTGTGTTTGCTGTAGAGCTGTGGCTAAGCCTAAGCGGATTAGGTGTCCCTCAATTATGGGCCAAAACGCTTAGCCCAAAGATAAACAGAAGCACAAAAGCAACAAATTAGGATTCGATTTTACAAAATCGAATATTGATTACAAAATGTGGATAATTATTTGATGGGCAATCCCTGAACCCTGAACCCTATATCGAGAATCAAACTTGTCGCGTCATCAATGTCATTTTCTTCCCCCCACCCACATTTTATTTATACCCCAATTTATCCCTCGCTTTTAGCTTTCCTTTCTTTGCGTGTTGGCCTCTTCCTCGGTACATGTTTTCGTTTCGTTTCGTTTCGTTTCTTTTCTTGTTTCCATTTTCCATATCAATAATGAATGCTCGAGTCACCAAAAATACAAAACTCACGCATAATCAGGAGGGGGCAAGGACTGTGTATCGACTTGGTTGAGTGTGTCCTGCTGCTGCCTCCCTGCTCCTCCCTCACGTTGCGTGTCTTTCTGTGTATCTGTGTCTGGCTGTCACACACACATTCGTCAAGGCTAAAAGCCCAGAACCCCACATTAACTCCCACTGCCATTTCCACTCTGGAGTTCTCTCTGAAACACATTGCGTAGGTCGTCGTCGTCGTCGTCGCTGTTGCTTTTTCATGTTCGCTGCGTGAACCGAAGGCAAAGTGGTGCCAGCTCCTGTCCACTGTCCCCTGCCCGCTTTCCCGCTTTCCCGCTTTCCCGCTTTGCCTTTTGCACATTTTCTTTTGGGTTGCCAAGACAGGAAAGCAACAGCAACAGCAACCGACGATGGAGGCAAATGAAATCTATCCGGCTTTGGCTCTCTCTTCTCTCCATGCTCCTGCCCATGTTGCCTGAGGTGGGAAGGGCATTGCCTTGTGCTTGGCAGCCACGTGCCACTGTCATAGCAACGGCAGAGACAGAGTGTGAGAGAGATGGAGTGCTTGTTGTTGCTGCTGTACACAGCTTCCACTTCCACTTCCACTTCCTGCCGCTTCCGGCTCTTGTTGGAGGAGTGTTTGGCCCCACAGGCGAACACACAATTTGATACGACGCATCCGTTTCCGCTTTAAAAAACAGTTGAAAAGTGAAACTGAAACTTCCCTATTGATTCAATGTCCATGTCCTGTATGCTGGAAGGACATCAAAGTGTTGGCTCGGTGCTCACATCGGTGGAGTGCGCCGGAGGAGCAATCGCGCATCTAATCATGCGTGGGATGTGAATGCTGCCAGTCGCCACATCAATTAACTGAAGCCCAGCTGATGAAATAGGTCAACCTTGAGGATGCCAGTGGAAGTGGAAGTGGGAGAAAGGAGCCTCCTTTTCTGGCCCTATCCATTAGAGCAGTGCATTGAACTTTCAACGCCAGTGGAGCGAGGGCAACATCTGTGTCCCTCCATCTCTTTGGAGACCAGCTGGAAACCCTTTTTAAGTCGCCACCTAAGTGCAAATGGGTCAGCCAGGGGTTAATTACTCAATCGACCCCTCCTAGCATCATTCTTTCAGTCTTCGGTCACTCATTGTCTTTCCTCTCTCTCTCTCTCTGTCTCTGTCTCTTTGCAGCTACCTGAAAACAATTTATATGGAAACATAATTATATAGAAAAAGATATATACAATATACATGAAGAATTTGCTGTTCTGACAAGCCGTCCACTTATACAACAATAGCAAGGAACAAGAGGGAACCCCCGTATCCATATACAGGATATTATATGCATGAGTGTGTGTGTGTGTGTGTGTGTGTGGATACAAATACATATTAAATATGCCCAAAGGCTGCCACAATAGCAAGAGAAACAGCAGCAACAGCAGCAGCAACAGCAGCAGCAACAGCTACGCGAAGAAGAGGAACCTGACGAATAATTAACGAGAGTTTACCTGACACCACACTAGATACACAAAGAGAGAGGAAGGAAGGAACCCAGGAGCCCCCCAATAACCATTCAAGCTTTCAGCTTAAGGAACATACTGGGAGACACCAGAACCCGCCACCCGCCATCCACCATAATCATTATTATAATAATCGGAGAAGCGAAAAGAGGATAGGAAAACTGTTGCCATGGGTCGCAAAAAAATCCAGATATCACGCATCACCGATGAACGCAATCGGCAGGTGAGTCCCAACCCCATGCCCCATACAGTGAGCAACAATTGTATGCTGCAGTCGGCAATGCCAATTGGTTCTTTGCTATGGCAATCGTCCATCCTCATCAAATGTAATAGAAAACTTTATTAATTAAGGACTAGGCTATGGCATCGATTTACGGCAATTAAACCGAAATCGCACACCTTTGTAGAGCTATGGCTGCATTTAATTGTATCCCTGGCGCTAATTAGGTGCGGAATTGTCCCTTTCAGTAATATAAAGCCATGCAAGTTGAGATATGTACAAGAGGAATTTGTATTTAAATTGTTTGTCACAAATTACAAGCAATTTCTTGTGGAATTAACCATTATTTACTCATACAAATTTAGTAGTTATGGAATCCAGTTGGAACTAGTTCGTAGGTTCGTTTGTTCCGGCCCGACAGCTGCGTGTGACGCGGCTGAGTGGCTGAGTGAGTGAGAGGGTTTTCCGGGTTGCCTTCAGTTCAGCTGATGTCGTAAACGCGTCATCGGCAGCACAGTTAGGCGTGTGCTATGTTGTTTATTGTATGGGCCACCACTGTAACCTTGACTGGGCGCCATAATCGATTCATTCCCAAGCCCTCGCCTTGCTCCGCCTAACAGAAAGGGGCCTGAGCCTGAGGACTCGGCCACTTGTGCGTCTAATTACATTCGAGGCGCATAAATATTTGAGCAGAGCAGCGGTAATTGACAAACGATTCCTCCTCCGTATCCAGGTGACCTTCAACAAGCGGAAGTTCGGCGTTATGAAGAAGGCCTACGAGCTATCGGTGCTCTGCGACTGCGAGATAGCGCTGATCATCTTCTCGTCCAGCAACAAGCTCTACCAATATGCCAGCACGGACATGGACAGGGTGCTGCTCAAGTACACAGAATACAACGAGCCGCACGAGTCGCTGACCAACAAGAACATCATTGAGGTAAGTGCGGAGCTTAAGCGCAAGAGAGAGAGAGGGCAGAGTGCTGCTTCCACTTGTGGCTGCTCAAAGAGCAGCTTAAGGCAAAGAGCAGCAGCAAGGAAGAGAGCATGCAATGCCAGCGGTGTATTTTGCATTTCAAATGCAGAACTGCTGCTCTCACCTCGCCTCTGCCTTTCTTGGCTACCACTTGCAGGGAACCATTAATAACTCACTCTCTCTCTGTCTCTTTTCTGGAAAACAGAAGGAGAACAAAAACGGCGTCATGTCCCCGGACTCGCCCGAAGCCGAAACAGACTACACGCTAACACCACGAACCGAGGCCAAGTACAACAAGATCGACGAGGAGTTCCAGAACATGATGCAGCGCAACCAGATGGCCATTGGGGTGACCGGGGCGCCGCGGCAGCTGCCAAACAGTAGCTACACGCTGCCCGTGTCGGTGCCAGTGCCAGGGTCCTATGGTGAGAACCTGCTGCAGGCCAGCCCACAAATGTCCCACACCAACATCAGCCCCCGTCCATCCAGCTCGGAGACGGATTCAGGTGGGATGTCCTTGATAAGTTAGTACAGTGTCTCTGGCAGAAGGGTGCACACACATTTTTCTATCTTTCAGTTTGTTATCGTTATCGTTATCGTTATTGTTATTGTTATTGTTATCGTTCGATTTTTCGTTGTATTCTTTTGCATGATTTCCCCCCAAACCCTAAAAATGTCTAACAGAGAATGTATTTCGTTGGTTTTATTTTGATTTCCCTCGACTCACCCGCCATGAATCTAACCCCCCAGAGTTCCAAAACTCTTCCAATATTACCTATGTAGAGTGTTTCGATCTAAAGTCTTAACGTATCTGTGCATTTTCTTATCTTCTTATTATCGATTGGTGCCATCAGTATATCCATCGGGTTCCATGCTGGAGATGTCGAATGGCTATCCGCATTCCCATTCGCCGCTTGTGGGATCGCCCAGTCCAGGTCCCAGTCCTGGCATAGGTGCGCATTACGACCATGAAGACCCACCCCATCCATTACGACCACACCATACACTCCTCCCATCTGCCCAAAGATCCCCCCAACCCATTCTGTGTGGCATGAGATAAACCCTTTTAATCGTAACTCCTTACAGCCCATCACTTGCCCATCAAGCAACAGTCGCCGGGCAGCCAGAATGGACGTTCTTCCAACCTGCGGGTCGTCATACCGCCCACCATAGCACCCATACCGCCCAACATGTCTGCGCCCGAGGATGTGGCCTACACAGATGTGAGTAGAGGGGTGACAATTTGAGAGATAACAATAGGAAGCCCGCAATTAAGATCCCTCCGTGCTCTCCCTTCCAGCAACGACAGAGCCAAACATCGCTGAACACGCCCGTGGTGACGCTGCAGACTCCGATACCCGCCCTCACGAGCTACTCCTTTGGGGCGCAGGACTTCTCCTCCTCCGGCGTCATCGGCAGTGCGGATATCATGAGCCTGCCCCAATGGCACCAGGGTCTGGTGCAGCACTCTAGGTAAGAGAAGCCGCTCAACCATAAGCAATATCTCTCTCATCTTGTTCATTCTCTCTCGATCAGTCTCTCGCATCTGGCTGTCTCGAATAGCACACCGCCGCCCGCCACCTCACCCGTCTCCATCAAGGTCAAGGCCGAGCCACAGTCGCCGCCGCGTGATCTATCCTCGAGCGGGCATCAGCAGAACAGCAATGGATCGACGGGCAGCGGCGGCTCCAGCAGCAGCACGAGCAGCAACGCCTCGGGCGGTGGCGGGGGAGCAGGCTCCTCAGCCGCCAATGCCGGCAATGTCATTACGCACTTGAACAATGCCAGTATCCTCGGAGGTGGTGGTCCACCAGGCGGAGGCGGTAGCAATGGGAACGCGGAGCAGGCCACCAATCTAAGCGTCCTGAGCCACTCGCAGCAGCACCTAGTGTTGCCCAACTCGAGGCCCTCGTCGACGGGTCACCTAACACCCACACCAGGTACGTTACCGATGCACCCCTTACCCCTATGCTGACCCCCCGCGCGCTGTCTATCTTTCGCCCACGTGTTCCGCAAGAGGATTTTCGCTTGAAAAATGTCTGCAGTTTTGTTAACAATTATCTTTAGAGTTGAGACAAAAGTGTTCTCCGAATTGTTTTTGTCGCGGCATGTTTCCTAATGCTAAAATGTAACTCTCTCTTTATTTTCCAACCCTCTCTCTGAAAATCAGATGGTGCGTATACGTAATGTGTGTGCACAGACAAATATTACGTATGCGCTCCGATTTGTCTGTTGAGAATTTCCTAGAAGAATCGTCTCTAGTGCCGATTGCATTAATATTGTTATTGTTATTGTTATAATCTAAACATAATACGTTTGTTTGTTTTTTATATTCGCATTAACCACAACAACAACAACAACAACAACAACCACAACAACAACAATTGTGTGATAATATTTATAGGGCATGATAAGTATGAAGGATATCCGTACCGCGCGCTAATGGGTCACAATCCTAGATGGAATTTTGCCGGTAAATTGGCCTCAAAAACGAATTTCAACACAAAACACACAAACACACGCAACAAAATACATAAAAGACACACACATGTACATACATACTTCTACACATACATATACTACATGCATACATACAAACAAATATCTAGCAAAATTTGTGTACATGCAAAAAGAAGAATTTATGTTTCTGCGGGAACGGGCGGGTTTTCATCTTGAGTTGTTTTTTCCTTCAGTTTTCGACTACTTTTGAGGGGGAATTTTTGAAGAGAATTCTCAGAATTCTAAAGAAATTGAAAATTACATATTGCCTGGCTTTTGGTTTAATCTTAATTTTGTACTAACAATTGATGCGATTTCGTTCTATCCCAAACAAAAAACACTCATCCGAAAACACTCACACCACTCACACAGTCATACTACACTCATTCCGGGTGCGGACTGCCCCCAGATCTACCCCCTACAGCCCGCCTGAACGCCTGCGAATGCCTGACCTCTGCCTTTGTCATACACACACGACCAATGAGCAAATCGAACTAATAGTTTAACAGACTTTATCATCTTAAACGCAGGTGCGCCCAGCAGCGATCAGGATGTGCGCCTCGCCGCCGTGGCAGTGCAGCAACAGCAGCAGCAACAGCAGCAACAACAGCAGCAACAACAGCAGCAGCAGCAGCAACACCAGCAACAGCAGCAGCAGCTGGGGGACTACGATGCACCCAACCACAAACGTCCCAGAATATCGGGTGGATGGGGTACATAGCCGGCACGTGCAGGCGGTAGCAGCAGCCACTACAAGCAGCAACACAACAGCAATGGCAATGGCAATGGCAATGGCAAGAAGCAAGGAATCCACACGAACATCAGCGACATAGACGATCTGGCCATGATGCCGCCGCCGCCTCGTAAGGATGTGGCCGCCGTACGGAGTTCGTTCAGCATGTCTGCTTCTGGCTATGACTGCTATGGCCAACAGCAGCTGGCGGTAGCCTATGGGACGCAGCAAAACCAATAGCAGGAGGTGGAGAAGGAGGTGGATAAGGAAAGGGAGCCGAAGAACCAGTAGGAGCAACAATTTCCAGACCAGTGCAATAGTTCAGAGAAAAGTCAGCTGGAAATTGTGGCAGGAAGAAGGGAAGGAAGAAGGAGATGGGAGCTTTGTTTTGTTTTCGGTTTAAGCGAACAGTGACAGTGTCATATCTATAATTATTGTAAGTTAAATACACCCACAAACAAACACACACACCTACGGTAATAGTTATAATTCTAAATTATAAATGCGAAATTAGGCGCCCCATCCCCATCCCCATCCCAGTCCCAATCCCAATCCTAATCCCATGATGGGATGGATGGATTTATGATGATGGGGTGGAGAAGGCCCAGAAATAAGTTGTTTGGAGCGTTGGAGCTGATTTAGTTTAGTTACAATTACAACTAAAGTTACAGCTATGGTTAAAGTTAATGTTAAATCTAATCTTAGGACAAAAATGCTGCATACAAAAAACAAAGCGAAAGCAAAAGCAAAAGCAAAAGCGATAGGAAAAACGGAGGAAATGTTTTCTGTAAATACTTGATTTAGCATAAGTTTTAAACTTAGTTTGTAAACCCATTACAATATACGTACTAGCACTATCAGATGAATGCTTGAGTATGGATGGATTGAACACACATAAACACACAGGCACAGACACAGACACAGCAAGGAATGTACTCAATGTTCAATCAATATTTGTAATTTCGTGCAATTTATCAATAATTTTTATTATCAGTTCTGTTCGTGTAAGAGGAGCAAGGAGATTTGGTTGATTTTGAAAAAGGAAATACACATAAATGCATAAACAAATAGATTTAAACACTTGATGATTATGATTTAGTTTTGATTTAAGCTTGATCTATTTGCTAGACCCCTCCTCCTTTTATCTTCATCTCTTAAGCAAAACGAAGTCATATTTTGTAATTTACGTTTAAAGTGGATTTCTATTCAAGTTTTCGTGCCTAAGTTTTGTATTTTTTACATTTACAAGATGTTTGTAAAACAACACCAACTACAACAACCACAACCACAACAACAACAACAAAAACTACAACAGCATCAACAAACAACTCAACAAAATATATAATTTAAATAAAATTATTCAAGAAATTATCGTTTATTTTTCGCACTTTCTGTTTACAATATTTTATTTACATTTTGTATATTTCTGAACCCTATTTGCACAGGCCCCAATGTGGATGAGCGTGTGGGTGTGTCTCTGGGTCTGTTTTAATGTCAATTCCCCATTTCGATACGACACGATTCGACTCGATGTTTCCTCCAATATTTGACCAAGAGGTAAACGAGCTCAGCAAATATTCTATGACCCGTTGCACTTTATACAGACGCGAACAGAACAGTACTCGTAGGAAAAATATAATATTTATGTACATATATATTTGTATTCGAGTATTACTCTGGCACTTCTCGGTGTCCGCCGCTGTCCGCACACTGTGCAACTGTGTCCACACATGCAGACATGCGAAAAACAGTGGCAGATGAGAGGCCAGGAGTCAGATGAGAGATGAGATGAACAGTAAACAATAAGCAAACATACACACTTTACAGGTTTCCCCCTTTGAACAGCTTTACACATACATTTATAAGAGCCGAAGAGGAGTACGAAACTATATGTCTACCATATAGAAAGAACCGAAACACTATAGATGATATTTTCTAGAAATGTACTTACGATGATATACATAAGCAAAACAAAGGTGAACGTAGAATGCCCCAACCTGAAGCGGAACTGAAGCGAACTTTTACCAGCAAAGCAACTCATCCATAGGGGAATGGGTATATTTTGCTTTGAGATGATAATAGATTATGTAAATAATCACATACTTACATACATATATCTTATGAATGTGTACACCCCCATATTAGTGGGTACAAATGTTGCACTCTCCTTGAATGTTATAGAGTTGAGTTTTCATATGATTTGCAAAAGACTTTTCGGAATTTCCCAAAACTTTTACTATTGTTTGAATGTACATAAATCCTGGTATGTAACTTCACTGTGTAGTGTTGCCTTAAAAACAGTGCCTCTTTTTAATAAACAAACGAAAACTATAAAAAAAAAACATAAAACCAAAAAAAAGAAAATAATATAAATATAAATAAATGTTGTACTATGAATATTGATTGCAAATGATAATGATAAACGAACAACTCGATGGTGAAACATTTCGATACAGGTGTTAACTGTGCTATTTAATTAAACGTACGAGTAGATAAATAGATAAATCTGAAAACTGATAGCTACCTAATCACCCAAATCCCTCACAGAGACAGAAACTCGAATTAAGAGCAGCACATAATGTACAAATTGGCATTGGAAAATTGGAAGAGGGAAGAGGGAGACGGCTTATCCAGAGAAGCATGAATCTAGTTTAGGAAAACAATATACTGATAATGGTTTATAAAGATATATTTATATATATCTATCTGAGTAACAATGCACTGTACAGATGGCGGTCTACAAGACGATGTACGGTCACAGGGACCACTCACAGCACAGACAGACCACTCTAACTGCGTGCGTATGGTACTAGATGTAATGTTCAGAATGTGAATTCGTATTCGTTGTACCTTTAGCGTAATAGATAAAATGTTGAACCTGTTGCACAGTTGTAATGGGATTTTAATGGCACCTGAACGGCATCACATAATAATTAAACAAAGACTCGTAACGCATCCTGATGTGTCTCCAGCGGGGGCTCCAGCATCACGGCTGCCACAATTGCCGTACCCCGAAAAGTACCAAAACTTGTCTCCCGCCCGCTATGGAATGTTAGTGTTAAAGTTACCATAGCTAAAGCAAAGTTCTTTCAATGTATTTCCTTGATTGTTGTCCAATAAATGTTTCTGTGGCAGCCGTGCCGCCAGCCCACACAGCGGATACATACATATGTTCAATCTGTAGATAGGTCTAAGAAAACGGATATGAGGAGGCACACAAGCATTGGGAGAGGCCACGGAGAGGATGAGGAGTACCCCTAAATGTATGTACGTGTATCCATCGATGTATCGTCTGTTCAAATAACAATTAATAACAATTATACAACTAAATCGTAATTGTAGGCTAAGCAAACCATTGCAAACCATTTTGGTGAAAAACAAGATAGTATATTATACAATACATACTTATATATACATATATGTGAAACTATATAAAAGAGAACAAGTTTTATCCGTGCACTGAATATATATGAAAGGTTTTGAAATTGAAAATTGATTGTGGATTCAATATTTACCTATTAAGTTGGTGTTTTAAACAAGAAACAGGAAACAACAAAGAACAAAGAAAACAAAAAACAGAAACCAAACAAAAACGATAGTTGAAAATTTGAAATAAAACCTTTTTGGCAACTGACTTTTCACTTTTATCTTTAATTTACAATTTATTGCAACTTTTCAGCTTAAATTCCAAATAATGTTCTCGAATTTTCAATTTTATAAAACTAGTCAAATGCAATTGCGGTACAGGAAACCGGTTTCCCAATCTCAATCTCAATCAGTATCGATGATGGACATTCACATGCCATTGTAGGCGGGGCCGCCGCCACCCTCGGGCACCACCCAGTTGATGTTCTGTTTGGGATCCTTGATATCACAGGTTTTGCAGTGGATGCAGTTCTGAGCGTTTATCTGCAGCTTCATGTTGCCGCCCTCCTCGTTGGGCACGTACTCGTACACGCCGGCGGGACAGAAGCGCTGCTCGGGACCCTCGTACAGCGCCAAGTTGTGATCGACGGGAATGCGGTCATCCTTCAGCGTGAGATGTGCCGGTTGGTCGCCCTCGTGATTGGTGCCGGTCAGGGCCACCGATGAAAGCAGGTCGAAGGAAACCTTGCCGTCGGGCTTGGGGTAGACAATGGGTTCACAGGCACTCGCCAGCTGCAGCGATTCGTGATCCTGGGGTCCGTGCTTCAGGGTCCAGGGCTCGCGGCCGCCCATGAAAATGGAGAAGCCACTCAACACGAGTCCGCCGTACAGGCCCAACGGATTGTGGAACGAGGGATGCACATTACGCACCTTGTATAGATCCTTCCACACAAATGAATCCTTGATTCTGCATTCAGTGAGTTTGATTATATAAATTTCCTTTTAAAATTAATCCTTTCCACTCACTTATCTGCGTAGGTTGTGGGCTCAACGCCAGCTGTGGACTGGGAGTCGGCATTGATGGCCTCTAGGGCGCTCTCCGCCGCCAGCATGCCACTCTTCATGGCATAGTGGGAGCCCTTGATGCGGGGCACATTCAGGAAACCAGCACTGCAGCCCACCAGGCAGCCGCCGGGGAAGGATAGCTTCTGGGGTAAGCTCTGGTAGCCTCCCTCGTTGATGGCACGCGCTCCGTAAGCAATACGGGTGGCACCCTCGAATATATCGCGTACCTTGGCATGCGTCTTGAACCGCTGGAACTCCTGGAACGGACTCAGATAGGGATTCTTGTAGTTCAGGCCGACCACAAAGCCCACAGCTATCGTGGGTGTGGGCTCGTTCAGGTGATACAAGAAAGATCCACCATAGGTGAATCGATCCAAGGGCCAGCCAATGGTGTGCTCCACCAAACCGGGCCTGAAATCGGGTATAAAATTAATATAAGATACGTTTATTTTCATGCTTATAAGGCAGAGACTCACTGGTGCTTCTCGGGGGCGATCTCCCAGACTTCTTTCAGACCGATTCCATAGGCCTGTGGCTCGCTGCCCTCGTTCAAGCCAAACTTTTGCATAACCTGCTTGGTGAGGTGGCCGCGGCAGCCCTCGGCGAAGATGGTGGTCTTCGCATGCAGCTCCATGCCGCGGGCAAAGGTGTCCTTCGGCGCTCCACTCTTGGCGATGCCCACATCGTTGGTGGCAATGCCCTTGACGCTGCCGTCCTCGTGGAAGAGCACCTCGGACGCGGCACAGCCAGGATAGATCTCCACACCCATGGCTTCGGCCTGATCACCAAGCCATTTTACAAGGTGGCCGAGGCGCACCACATAGTTCCCGTGGTTATCCATTGGCCAGCCCTTGAAGATGGGTATGGAGATGCGACCCGAGGAGGTGAGGAAGGAGAAGGTGTCCTTGCTCACGGGCGTGTTGAGCGGGGCGCCCTGCTCCTGCCAGTCGGGTATTAGTTCGTTCAGCGAGATGGGATCCACAACAGCTCCAGAGAGTATGTGTCCACCCACTTCCGCTGCCTTCTCCACAACGCAGACGCGAATTTCCTACAGGTATAAGAAATGTATACATATTGGTCACCATATCCATCTGCTGATGTTCAATCTGCTCCTCACCTGATCCTTCTCAGCAGCCAGCTGCTTGGCACGAATGGCTGCCGACATGCCCGCAGGTCCGCCGCCAACAATGACAATATCCACCTCCTCGATGCAGCGCTCCATGTCGACCTCCTTCCACCGTCCATCCTTCTCGCGGGGATTCAGGGTGTAGTGTGTGGTAATCCTCGGGTACTTGGCGGCTTCTGACACGCTGCGCACCAGGGCGGGGGTGAAGAGCCTTTGAACTGGTCGGGAGGAGACAAGAATCAACCACTGTGATGAGGGGAAAATTCCATGGCCTGATAAGAACTGACCACAGACTCTGTCTCTGTCTCTTGCAATTGCCTGATCATCAATTCGGTTATGTAATCCACGAAATTGTTGTCGAGCAAAAGAGACTGCCAAGTGGCAGTGTTCCCCACTCACCTCTGTTCATTTTCAGCAACGCCGACATGTTCCTTTCTTTTCTTTTGGCGGCCACTTGCAATGGTTTCTATGGCGTGGAAAAGGCAGCCACTCACTATCCTATGCGGCTTCCCGGATATATATATGTAAATAGCTTTATTTACACTTTTCCAAAACATACACAAGAGAGAAGATTAAGATCAGAGCGATGCAACAGGTTGGACTTTAGACCCTCTATGGGGAGAGTGACGTAGGTGCCAGGGCTAAAGTTCGCATGCACTATGTTTACCGTTGATTAATGCGCCAATCCACTTCAGGTAGCAGGTTCGAGTTTTGAATCTATTGTTCGAATTTTGGCAATAAAAGAGTAGCAAAGAAGCGAACTCTTATCAAGAATTATCAGTCTGGAAAATAAATCGAACTTAACCCACTTAGCCCCCCCGTATTTAAACAGGTGAGCAGCTGGAGTTAAACCGCTGAAAATAATAATGTTTGTAAACAGTTCTTGAAGACCCATTCTTCCATTTTAGTTACAAATAAACGATATGGTAACGATATCTTTCATCTGAAATGCCAAAACATTCTCCAAGTAATATGGTTTTCGTTAGAAATAACCACCTGGTCGACAATGGGTGTTGCTTGTTGGTCGGAATTCAAAATTCTCGATTTTGATATTCGGCTAAACATTGCTAGCTAGCTATGACCCACAGCACTAAGCACATAATTTTATCCTATTAATGATTACATTTTCTACCAAATTGCGTATTTTTACGGACTCCCTTTAATTGCATTGCTTATAAAATAAGGTTTAGACAAAAAAAGTCAAATTATTGTATGTGGGCGACAACAACACAACGAATGTTATATCCAAAACAGGTGAGGCCCTCCCTCTCTCTCGTGACTAACTTCCATCTCTATCAACAAGTGGCGCAGCGCTGCCAGATTCTTTAAAAAAGGAAATGTGACAACAAATTTAAAGCAGAACGAACGATTTTGTGTTGTGCTCTTTGCCGCCTTTTCTACTTTCACTGAACACATTGACATTTATCATTGACATTTCTTTATTTTGATTCGAAAAGGACTTGTTCACAACATTTCAATGCATTTCAAACTAAACTAATACATATATGTATACTCGATTAGGTGTGTATTTATAGGTAGTATGTAGGTGTGGGGAGTGTCAACTTTTAATTTGATCAGATCAAAGCGTGGTGAATTTTTAATCCAGCCCCATTAAAAATTCACACCCTAGGCATTTATCAAGTGTTTGACGAGGGAAGAGGGGACAAGGCTATACGTATTTTGAGTATTTTCCTTAATTTCATTACATTCCATATCATTATCATTATCATTACATTCCGAGAGAGCCGCGTCTTGTCAGTTAATATTTACATGGAGCCAAACTTATGAAGGGGTACTATGTCCATCTATTGGGCGTAGAACTGTTCCTGTTCCACGCTCCCATCCTCCAAGTTGTGCGCTGCCTGTCCGCTCTTCAACTGCTCCTGCTGCTGCTGCTGCTGCTCCTCTTTCCTGAACAGAATGGTCATGGCCTTGTCCACGGGACTCCGTTCGCCCGGCTGGTTGCTGGACGTCTGCGTCTTTGTCTGATTCGACTCGTTAGCAGCTGCAGCGGGCGGCACAGCCTGATTGACGCTCTTGCCAAAGCGCATAAAGTTCGAGTCCATTTTCCCATAGCGCTCAAACTCTGGCGGGGCAGATGCAGAGCGTCCGAAACGCATGAAGTTGTCTGGCCGGCCGAAACGCATAAAGTCCTGCTTGGGAGTGCGCAGCTCCTCTTGAGGACTACGTCCGAAGCGCATGAAGTCCGAGGGAGTCCTGCCAAACCGCATAAAGTCCGAGGGTGTCCTGCCAAACCGCATAAAGTCCGAGGGAGTCCTGCCAAACCGCATAAAGTCCGAGGGTGTCCTGCCGAATCGCATGAAGTCCGAGGGAGTCCTGCCAAATCGCATAAAGTCCTCCTTGGGGTCCCGGCCGAAACGCATAAAGTCCTGTTTCGGATCCCTGCCGAATCGCATGAAATCCTGCTTCGGATCGCGACCATAGCGATCCATGCCGGACCGTTTCCCCACACCCCCTTCCCCATCGGAGCCATAGCTCTCTGCTGGCGGCATCTGCTCCACCTGCCGCTTGCCGAAGTGCATGAAGTTGTCCTGCAGGGACCTGCGCTTGGCCTCCAGCTCCGGATCGAACTTAAGGCGCTGCCTGCGGCCGTGCTTCTGGAAGCGCAGAATCACCGAATTCCTGGCATAGTCGATGCCAATGGCCGAGATGGGGTACCGGAACTCCAGCTCCGTTTGTTCTCCCGCTTCTGGCAGGACTTCCCCCTGATCCGCATCCGTGTCCGACTCGAGCAGGGCATTCGCACCGAAGCTGGGCGACTCAATGATCTCGCTGTGGATGGCCGACTGCATCTGGTAGAGCGCCAGCAGGAACATCAGGGCGATGCCCATCCTATCTGAAAGTCGAACAAAGAAAGAATCGAGATTAATTAATAACTAAGAGCTGGCCAGCCAAGATGCCATCGCGGATTATCTACTGCAACTTTTAATCACATTAACGCCGGCGGCCGAACGTTCATCTTACTTACGGGGGCCAACAGCAGCGTGGCCAGAAGATGTCTTCATCTACAGCTTCCCCCAACTGCAGGCAAAGTGTCCCGCTAATTAACCATCATAATATTTATGGCTGGACAACAACTGCCTGTTAAAAGTTAACCAACCACATTAAAGCCACAGCACAGCGCAGCAATAGGAGACCGAGCACGAACCCGCCCCCCACATTGGCACATAACCGAAACATCAGCCGAAGTGGATGAGGCTGCGGGCGTACAGGCATTAACACTTGTTGGCCAAGACAAAAGGCGCTAACCACAGGGATTGCCAGTGGGTTTGGATGGGGGTGTTGATGTATGACGTCCGGAGGATGCCACAGCACAGCCCATTAGAGATGCAAATGATTATGGCTTTTGGATATGGTGACGGTGACGGTGCTCAGGGCTCGGTGTTATTACGATGGTTCCTGTGCGTGTGGCTGTGGCTGTTACCCCCTTCTGCTTATGGCCAACCGATCCGGGAAGGTGTTGTGTGGATGCATGTGCATGGCAAAGGCAAAGACCCTTCCACATCATCATGACGATGATGAGCAGACGCCGCACACGTGAAACCTTTGGCCAGCCAGGGGGCCAAGTTAACACTCTGCCAAAAGACTTCTCTCTGTGACTCGGTGACTCGGTGACTCGGTGACTCTGAGATTTTGATTGCTCTGTTTTGTGGGTAGACCGAAATTTTAAAGTAGAAAACTTGTCACAGAACAACGAAAAAACTTGACCTCCAACTTGGCTGATGAGCGGCGGACTTCGCAACCAAAGCCGACTGAGCATTAACATACATTTTGTCGGAGTTTGTGTCTGCGTCTCAGTACATGCTTAACTTTGAGCTGAGCGCTCAATCAGGGCTGGCATTCAGGCAGTCTCACAGCCAAAATTTGAATACAAATTTGACCAATTAATAGCTGTTCACACCTCAACAATGGCCACGGGCAATGGCCAACTGCAAGTGCAACGATCTCTCGCTGTGGTTTTGAGATTGCAACATTGGGGGTTCGAGCTCAAGGGTCCAGCTTGCAATAAACCAACAGCAAGCCGCCAGTAAGACAGGCATCACTTCATTTATGAACACCGAATGGCCAAATGTGTTGCAAGCAATGACATGACGCACTTCTGGACAGACAGACAGACAGACAGACAGACAGACAGACAGGCACTCCAAAAGGCAGGAGTCAACGATTGTGAAGTGGGTAGGCAGTCGGCAATTGCCAAATGTCTGATTGATTTGCGATGCCGAAATGTGCATTTAAAATTCATAAATATGAGCTAAAAGTGTGTGCCTTGTGTGTGATCTCCTCATTCCTATCGCAAAATCGTGAAACAGATGGATGCTGGTTGCTGGTTGCTGGTTGCTGTTGGCATATCAATAACGCGCTCGTTAATTTGCTTAGCCATCGATATGTTGGATGAGACTTTGCTTTTTTGGGACAGGTGTAACCTGATTTGCATGGCAAATGAGAGCTATACACGTGTATATGAGACATGGGATACCTTTGAAGTGGCTCCTGCGACAGCACGGCCCAGTCGTCCTGCTTCTGGGAGCATTTAAAAAACATTTGTCAGGTGGGACAAGTGCCAAGACAAATGATTCTCGCGGGCCATTCCGCTTGTCCGGATAAGATGTGAGTTGAGACAAGGCGAGATGAGCTGCTATAAGATGAGCCACTGCCACAGATACTCGTAAATCAAAAACTGTGGAACAGAGAGCTCTCTGGCCGCTGTCAGCACATTTATATGGTACATCCAGCACCCTTTCATGTACGTCGAGGACACGAGTGTGTGCTACATATGTAAACCTTCTGTGGCAGAAGTGTGAATGCAAATGAAAATCTAGGGACGCTCTGCGGCTTCACCTGCGACTGTCTGCCGTGTCCCTTGCCCCTTAACATGCCACCAAAGTGCAGTCATAAATATTTCAATTTGCTTTCATTAACCAAAACGACGCTTGAGGATGCTGACTATTTGATTCCCTGTATCGTGTATCGTGTATCCCGTATTGGGGAGCGGGAGTGGGCAGCGGGAGTGTGTGGATGCACACTAGACCCCTCTCTCTCCTGTCCCTTCATGGGTGGGAGGTGCTGCACACGTTGGTCCCCACACAAATGAAAATCCCCACAAAGTTCGAGAAATGAAATTATAGTTGGCTGCTGTACGTTTTGACTGGGTAATTAGCAAAAATTATTCTGAGTGGATATTAAATGTATATTTGGAACTCAGTGGGTTGCGTTTAGTGGCTACATGTCAATCTGAACAAAATAAAATAAGCCTACTTATTATAAATAATTCAGTTGAACCCTTAATGAGCAAATTTCGGAATCTGAAACTACACTCAAAGGCTCTTATCCATGTGAACGATTTTGTAGACTTTAAGGTACTTTTCATTACTTCTAAAAACTATAAAAAATGCACTGATATTTGGACTAATTAAAAAAATAACAGCCACTCGAGATTTCTTCTAGAAAGAATTTATCTGAGATTGTAAATTGTATATTTATTTGTCGAAGCCCAGATGCAACTGAATTTGCTTCAATTAATTGGCTTATTAATGACACGGACTCGAAATCTGTTCCTGTTGCATGTCTTCATGTTCAATAGATTTTGTGCAATTAGCCCCTGCCCCCGCAACGCCTTTTGTGTTGCAATTCATTTCAAATTTCACAGTAATGAGGCTACGGCCATGGGCTACCCACCTTTCTTTTGGCTGTCTCTGGAGGACTAGAAACTGGAAATGGTTTTCCGCTCGTCCTCGACTCTTGGTGCCACAAACTCTCACACACAAACACACACTTGTTGCCCGGGCGAATGTGAAACGATTCTGTGCCCATGTTTGGCAAAACATCCTGTTTTATATGGAGTCCTTTGTGGGAAACCATGGGCGAGTGCTGCTGCTGCTGCTGCTGCCTGCTGCTGGTGAGTGTGGGCGCAAGCAACAAGTGTTGCAGCAACATGTTGCCCGAACGGCGGCAGGCTCAGCTTTTGGAAGCGGAATGGGAATTCGTTAGAATGGGAACTGCATGCTCTTCTGGGATATCTGTTGGCAGTATGAATAGAACTTTTTTGACTGGTTAAATGCAGATTACCTGCGACAACAGCGCTGGGGGAGGGAGACCTTGACATTGTCCGCCTGTGGTCTGTGGTCTGCCCTCGCTCTGATATGTTTGTCATGACTGTCGTGCATCCTCCCCATACCCCGCAGTGGACTGAGTGCTGTCAGACAGACAAAGGCACTGGCCGGCCACAGCATTGTGTGTGCCGTGGCGTGTTGGCTTATTGGTGTACTTCATTCAACATTCAGTGGCAGCAGCAACGGCAAAAAAACCAGAATGACGTAGCAACATTTTGTCGCCAGTTTGCTGGCCACCGGAGCTCCAAATTGTATGCAAATCGCCCACAATTGTTATGTTACGCCCACTTTTAAGTTTAAGGCAGCTTCCAGAAGGACCAGCAGCAAACAGCAAGGGTAGGAGCAGGAGCAGGAGCAGGGGCAGGGGCAGGGGCAGCGCAGCCTCGCCTTGCCTGGCCTGGCATGTCCAATTAGCCATCGGCGAGTGGATCGTCTACGTGTCCGTATGCGTTATAATTTGCCCTCGGTCGCATCGTTTATGGAGCTTTATGGCCGTGTAACGGGATACGTTGTGGCGCCTGTGGCAGGCATCCTTCATGCCCACGTCCCCAAGTCCCCCTGTCTGTCCTTGTACCAGGCCCAGCCTTTTGGGTGGGGCTGCGAAACTGTTCAAAGGCGGAAGTCTGTAATTACGGCCACACTTTGAAAGGCCAAAGTTTTGAAGACAAGTCTGTGTGTGGCTGCGTCTCTCTCTGTCTCTGTGTCTGTTCATTTCATTCGTTTTACTATGCCCGTTTTATCAATGACTTTGTCCAGTACGCATGATGGAGCATAAATGTGTCGGGTCCATTGTCATTGTTGTGTATCTGCCTGTCGGATTCTCACTTTACGATCGCCCAAAATCAATAGAAACCCGTTTGGACACTTATCGCTGCCTATGCTGATGGCTTCATTTGCATAAATAGCTGCGGAAAACGAAACCAAAGTCACTGGGAGAGGAAACAAAAACGACGATCGTAAAAATCAACTCAAGTTCAATGCGGTTTCTTGACCAAGTCTTGACCAGTCGCCCAGTTACTGGCCAAGATGCTGACTCCAGACGAAGAGTTGAGCTGAGGTCGACTTTGAATCAATTGTATGCAAAGCAACTGTTAAACAACTCCGCCTTTGAGCCACTATCCCAGTGCGGCTTGACAACCGAAACGATACAGTGCTGGGCTTTTGTTCAATGCAAATTCAGCTAATTCTTCAATTTATAGACGGGACAACTGCCAACTGCTGTTGCCATCTTCTTGTGTCCATCTGCAAGGGTAACTAATGCTTCGGAGAGGCTTTCGTTCAGTTTTTGATTAGCCCTGGCTAAAAATAAAACCAAAGCCACACCGCGATGATATTTCGATGTCAATGCCATTGTCAAATTTTCGTCTGCTCTTCTGTCTGTCCAATCCACTCCGTAGCTCCAATCCAACGAAGTTAATTTATGACTGTGTGCCGAATGCCGCACATTTGCCCAACAACTGTAACTAACAAACTCTGTCTAATTAATGGGCAGCGCAATGGAGATTTATGCGGGCCATAAAGCCGGAGCGGACCGGGTCGGATCGGATCGGGCCGTGTCAAAATTGGTTCGGACTCAGTAGCTAAAGCGGCCGCAGTAGATTTCCCTATACGGAGGGGAGCACACACACACACTGCGTATGCGCAACCAGCGCTTGGCACAGCAGTTTCATCATGTTCTGAGTGCATGGCATGCCGGATGAGAGCATCCAATGCAAAATACAGCCGCTGCACAGCTAAACAGCTTGACCGTTTTCTTGGAGCAGAGTCAGAGACAGGTGAGAAAACGCCGCACAGTAGTCGAAACCTCTGACCGTTGACTGTTGGCGCTGCTGCACAGTGGAGCGGCACAGCTCAGGGGGAAGTACGCTCTCTCATTGCGCGCTCTTTGCATACTACATGCTCTGCTCTCCCTCTCTCTGTGTGGCTCTCTTCTGGGTTTGCCTGTGTGCCTGGCTAGTTTCTGTAGATCTCTGTGGCCCCTCCATCGCCATCTCCATCTGTGTGTGGCTCTGTGTGTCTGTGCTTTAACTAGCTTCATACAAACGTATAGTTTGGCCCAAAGTTGTTTTCGTTTTATTTTCTATTAAGTTTGTGTCGAGTGCACGACTCTTTCTGTGAATGCGGCAGCCAGATCTGATCAGTTTGTGTTTAGCATTCGGTGTGTGCAGGTCAACCTCAACACCCAGAAGAAGTATCCGCATCCGTAACTGAATCTATCTGTGTGTATTTCTTGTCGGGCCAAAGGGTTTGTGTCAACTGTTTCTTGCTTTAATAGTTGTGTATTTAATAATAATTGTCATCCATTCATCGGCTGATTAATTAATTTGTTTTTTACAATTCTGCATAACGTTTAGGAAAAGTTCAAAGGCGCGTGAACATTGTTGGTTCAATGTGTAGAATCATAAATCTATGAGCAATGTCCTTGGCTTAGTTTTAGCTCTTTTGATGTGAAAGAAAACCCATTAAACTTTAAATTCAATTAGCCAATAAGTTGAGTTTTCCACTCCTTGTTTATTTATCGCATCGTTGACATCTCTGTTCAGGCCAAATAAAAACTGGTTGCCCAAGCGTGGCCACAAGAAAAGAAACACACGCGGAGCAGAAAGCATTTTTCGGCTCTTACGAAACTGTTTCTTGGCTGCGACTAGGCAGACTCCTGGCTGCAACTCCTGAAATCGCAGTGCCACTTCGAGTACCCCCTCATGTGACTGACATTCTGCTCAAGCGGCTGCAGCTGTTGACTGCAATGGCTGCACCAGCAATAACCACTGCACTAAATGGTAGATCCCCGCCACTAGACTTGGCATCATGACTGGCACATTGGTATGCCTGACTCAGATGCAAAAGATGGAAACGTTTTACGGTAGAGCCTGCCCTTTGGAAAGTTCCGATGATGGCAAACAGATTGTAGATCTGAAATTGCAATAATTGCTACAACGAGTAACGCGAGACAAGTGGGTCAACGAGACGGGCAACACGTCTAATCTGGTCTGCCAATCGCTGGCTAACCAGCCTCCAGCCAGCCCTCCTCTCAGCCCAGTCTGGAATTTGGGCTTCACTTTCGAAACTCGCGTTCGTTTATAGCGGAATTATATGCATGGTCTGCAGCTTAATTGTTTTGATCTTGGCCTGGGCCCCGGGGGGCTTTTCCATTCTTGTGCCACTGTCGTTGTCGCTCTGCCAATGCTACAGCCATTAACGCCTTTTATTTGGGGGCTCCAAGACATTCAAGTCGCTTACAGAATTGCATCAAACGTTGTGTAGCCTGGCCATAAAAAAGTAGATCTCAAATTAAAGCCAAGTTTCGTTTTCGTTTTCGTTTTCGTTTTGTATGGCCAAGTGCGAGTACGAGCTTCAGTGTCAAGTTTCAGTAGCAATTGGAGCGGTGATGGGTAGGCGTTTCGCATTATTAGTTATCCCATTTATCATTGCTCATTGCGGCAGATTATTGTGATAATATCACACAGGGCGGGTCCAGGGTCCGAGTACGTTAAGTCCAATTGCCGCATGCTGCTGCTGCTGCTGCTGTTGCTGTTGTGGGTCAATGTGTCAGTGGAGTAACGGCTTTCGATCGGACTGACGTTGGAAACAACAACTTGAAGGACACAACAACGCCAGAGATGGCGCCCAGGGCAGGTTTTCGTGTCCGCTCGAGCGCAGTGGCAGGCAAGCTCATGGCTCATATCAGCAAGCGTTGTGGCATGCGCCTTAGATGTGGCAATCGCCCAAGAGCCGTAACTCAAAATCGGTGTCTGTCGGTTCGCTTGCCCACTCGATGGGCACTCTCTGCACGGATTGGGGACAACGCCAACGGAGTGTGGCCAGCGGAGTGGCAGCGTGTTTCTGCTCTGCGTTTGTCGCCTGGCGACCGAGTCCGAGTCAGACTGGTTGTTGCCACATAATCGTAACTGGCCTGGACAACTTTATGACCAAGATCAAATGAAATTAAAAGTGCACTTGGCTGTGGCTATTGCCATCGCTATTGCTAGTGCTATTGCTGATGATGTGACAATTACGTGACGAGGCTTCCATCCATTTCCATATATGACAGACAGACAGAGAGATGACCGCCAAACCGAAGTTTGTCTACGAGAAGGATGACCTGGCGACCATAGGCGATGTGGATGAGAACGAAGTGGATCGCATTGCAGAGTGCTTCAAGGGCCGCAGTCTGTTCATCACAGGGGGCACTGGTTTCCTGGGCAAGGTGCTGGTCGAGAAGTTACTACGGTGAGTGGGTGGTGGGGGTCGAAAGGTCGCAGGGTGTTGCTGTGGCCTCGCACGGCGCACCTCAATTAATCTTAATCGTTGCTTATGATGCACAATTATTAATTACCGCAGCTCGTGTGGCGAACTGAAACACATTTATCTGCTCATTCGGCCCAAGAAGGGCAAGGATCCGCAGGAGCGCATCAAGGATATATTCCAGAATGTGGTAAGCATCGGGAAATTATGAAAATTCATTGCCTCATTTACCTTCATAATCCCACGTTGCATATGTTCGTGTGTGTCTTTTCCAGCTCTTTGACCAGGTGAAGCAGCAACGCGGCGAGGAGCGCATCCTGCAGCAGGTGGTGGCCATTGCGGGCGATGTCCTCCTGCCCGGCCTGGGCATCTCCGAGCAGGATCTGGCTACGCTGCGCGAGGAAGTGTCCATCGTGTACCACTGTGCGGCCACAGTGCGGTGAGTAGACCAGAGCGTAGCCCCTCGCTGGGCTCCATGACTAAACCCCAAATCTAATCCTCCTCAATCCAGCTTCGATGAGCCGCTGCGCAGTGCTGTGTTCATGAACACGCGCGGCACCAAGTACATGCTGGAGCTGGCTGGCAGCCTGAAGCAACTCGAGTTCTTCGCCTACTGCTCGACGGCCTACTGCCACCTGCACGTGAAGACGCTGTACGAGAAGCCCTACGATCCGCCCGCAGACCCACACAAGGTGATGCAGGCCTGCGAGTGGCTGTCCGACGACGAGGTGGCCACCATTGAGAAGAAGATCCTGGGCGACATACCCAACACGTATGCCTACACCAAGTCCCTGGCCGAGGCACTGGTGGTGGAGAAGTTCGACGAGCTGCCAGCCGTCATTCTGCGCCCCTCGATCGTAATTCCCATCTGGAAGGAGCCCATTCCCGGCTGGACAGACAACATCAACGGGCCAACGGGTCTGCTCATCGGCGCTGGCAAGGGCGTCATCCGCACCATGTACTGCAAATCCTCGGGCTACGGAGACTTCCTGCCCGTCGACGTGGCCGTGAATGGCATTCTGGTGGCCAGCTGGAGGAACATCACGGCGGGCACCGACACCACGAACCGCGTGGCCCACATGACCTCCTCGAACGACATCAAGGTGTCCTGGGCAGAGATCATTGAGCTCGGCCGCTGGGTCATCGAGAACAAGGTGCCGCTGAATGGCGTGGCCTGGTACCCGGGAGGATCCATGAAGTCCAACTACTGGGTGCACTACATCTGCATGATCCTCTTCCAATGGATGCCGGCCCTCTTCGTGGACGCCCTGCTCTGGCTGCTGCGCTACCCGCCCGTCCTCTGCCGTGTCCAGAATCGCATCTTCAAGGGCTTCGAGGTGTTCGAGTATTATGCGAACAACGTCTGGAACTTTGACAATTCGGAGGCTGTGAAGCTGCGGAAGCTGATGAACAACAGGGAGCGCAAAACATATGTAATAGAGAAGATCGAACTCGATCTGATTGATTACTTTACCAACTGCGTGCTCTGCGCCCGTCGCCTCATCCTGAAGGAGTCGGACGAGTCCATTCCAGCCGCCCGTCGTCACATGAAAGTGTAAGTGTACCTTGGAATTGCAAAGAGAATGATCCACTTACCTCAATCTTTCTCGATCTTTCAGCATGTGGGTGGTGGACAAGGTCTACAAGGGCATCTGGCTCTTTGGCATCCTCTACATGCTCTACAGGTGCCTCTTTGCCACATAGGCGTCAGCTGCACCCGCATGGGATTTGTTTTTAGCTAAGTTAAGTGCTTGAGACCAAAATTCGTGCCCTTCTCCAACCAAACCGCACTTCATATGTTTTCTTCTTAGCTCCTAAGTGTTTAAGTGTTTTAGTTTTTAGTTGGTGCTGTTGATCGGGAATGTAATTGATTGGAAATGCAGCAAATAAAACGTTGGTTTATGTACTTATAAATGGAAACAAGTCTTCACCGCCAATTGTTGGTCGTTACAAAACAAAAACCTTTGCCGCTTAAACTTTCGCGGCTTTTGCTCAATTTTGAATCAAAGGCAGTGCTGCCAACTTGTCTGCAGAAATAAATCCTCTGAATTCTCGAAATAACATGCTACAAAAATTGCCAACAGCTGATTGTTTTAGCATCAAATTTGTTGTTCTATGCAAAAGAGCATACACCTCCACTTACACATCAATGCATTAAATGACATCTCACTACTATACAATTTATTAAACTCTTACACACGACCACACTTAATAACTAAGCATCATATTGTTTAAATTATAAGAACATTGCCCGCCCTCATCAACAACCATCGATAGCAACACTCGTCAACAAATATCGACAGAAACACCGAACATACTCTATTCAAGAAAATATCGACAGACCCATCATCAAACTGAAGTACTCGGTCAATGCGGATTTATCGTCGTGAGACCATCTTATTCGCTTTAGCGACTATTTAAATAAATAAGTTATTTTTCATCGGTATATTTTACGGTATATTTTGAAATTGAAATCGTATATTTCGTAATATTTGCGAGGCCCTGACGGTATATATTATCGATAATTTCGTGGTCACACTGGCTCTAATGCTTTGTTTTGCAAAAAAAAAATGATTTGACCGGGAAAAGTGCAAGGAGGAATATTGCGTCATCAGCTTAGCATCATTTATCCAAGAGCCAAAGGTTCTCCAATTGGTTGGCGCGAGCGCCAGCGGCACGCAAAGGTCCAGGCAAGGCAGTCGTGGAGGTGGAAGAGGGACGAGCTCTGGCTCAGGCTGCAGATACTGAGACTGCAGCCGCTGTAAAAATGGCCAGCACTCCTTCGAGTGGGCCCAGCACGGGTTTCGGAGCTGGACCCGGAGCTGGAGCTAGCGCTGGCGCCAGCGCCGGCACACTGGAGGGCACCCTGAGCAAATGGACGAATGTGATGAAGGGCTGGCAGTACCGCTTCTTCGTGCTGGACGAGAATGCGGGCCTGCTCTCCTACTACACGGTGAGTGTGTGTGCCACAGATAGCGCGAGCGTTGTATGTCACCTGGATGATGAATAATAGCATGCCAATAACATTTCTAAACCCATCACGGCTGAGCCTCCGCCGACTCCACTCCCTAACCAAAATCACGAAACGATGGAAAGCAAACCAAATTGCCCAGAACTATTATCTTATCTGCATTTGGATATATGTACATCAAAGGCACATCAACTTGTTGGTTCGCATGTATTGTTCAAACTTATCTATTTACTCCACAGAAGCGTGGCCCTTGCCCTTCGGCGGGCTCTGGTAGGCTCTCGTATAAAAGTCGTAAAAGCCATACAACATGACCGTGATAACAAACGTAAAGTAGACTAAGACTACCTTCGAGATGCCGCAAATAACAGTCTGGAACCCCACCTGGGTCAGTATTAGGCAAAACTGCATCATTTGAATCACAGTGATGGACTTCTTGATGGGCGTGAGGGCGCGGATAACTTTCTTATCGGCCACCGCTGTGACTAAGTAATACGAGTACATGATGATGTGCACAACGGAGTTGAGGAATACGACGTAGTAAGCGGCAACACCTGTTGACGAAGCCAAATGGATTGGATAAAAAAAGCTTTTGGATCACTGGATGGGCAGATCAAGTTCCTTGACATTACCATTCTGGTTGTAGTGTATGAGCATGTAGATCAGTGTCAGGGTGGAAAAGTGATGGAATATGTGCAGATTCGATACTTGATTCTGCTTCTTGCGCAGCACAAAGATAACCGTCTCCAAGAGCTCCGACATCTTCACCCAAAAGAGGAAGTATGACAGCTGAAAGTAGCGCTTCACCATTTCAGGGCTGCTGCCCAGGTCGCGGCATTTCCAGAACATCCATATGGAGTTGTCTGACAGATAGAAGACCTGTGAAGGATGCAACGAAAACAAACACACACACACACACAAGAGTAGAGAGTAGAGAGCCCACTCGTTCTGTCACTCACTCACCTCTCTAAGGACGTAGATGCAGGAGAGCACCTGCATCACATTGTGGCCTATGATCAGCTTTTTGAGCTCGTAGGGCTTGCGGAATTGCATAAATCTGAAAGTGGACAACGGATTGGATTGTATTGGCGCACATCCAACTGGCTCTTGCATAATTGTTTCGCAGGCACACTGGAATCGCATAAATTAATTTCTGCCAGAGGTTCAGCGTGGTTCAGTGACTTGAAATGCAAACGGGACGCATAAGCATTAGCATTGGCAGACTTACAGTGGACCCACCGAAGTAACGAAGTACATATATAGTCCCAGTATGGTGACCATGAACCATGGTTCTGCCACCATCCAAGGATGTTTCATATCCATCGCCACACTGGCACTTGTACCTGGAATGCAACAGATTAGATGGGAGCTTGGATGGTTCCTAGTCCTGTGTGCTTATTGGCGCTCACTTGTTGCCGCTTCCATTGTTGATCGTTTATGTGTAGGGTTATGCTTCACAGCCACAAATGCGCTCCTTGAGATCCTGCCGCAGCTATATAGACAGAGATATCACCGATTGCACGTTCTATTTCCTCCGACTGCTGGCGTACATCTAAGCGGCTCCCTTCCGCAGCACATTATTTTTAATTCCACAGTAGCATTGATTTGAATTCATTAATTTCGGAATCACCGCACTCACCTTTGACGCAATCCCGAACAAAGTACTGGACGGGGGGACTCTGTTTAATGAGCTTACCCAAATTTCAACGCATTTCTCTGCTTCCAGTCCAAGGAGAAGATGATGAAGGGCGTACGACGCGGCTGTGTGCGACTCAAGGACGCCCTCATCGGCATCGATGATCAGGAGGATAACACCTTTACGATAACCGTAGATCACAAGACATTTCATTTCCAGGCAAGTCAATAGTCAATCAGTCATTCACTCGCTCACTACCCGTCACGTGTGTGCATAAATTAGCTAAAACTACTCGTTGTAAACATATTTGCATAAGGCGAATGTGACCCTTGATCCTACTCCAGTCAGTTTCTTGAATGGGAAGTGCGAATGTACATATGCATTCGATTACACAACTCGAAAGAGTGTGAGTTCTTCGACTCGACCTGTCCTCACATTCTTGGCGCTTTGTAACGATAAAACTTTTCTTTTCCCTCTCTTTTTCTCTCTCTGTCTCTGGTGTATGTGTATGCAGGCGCGTCACAGCGAGGAGCGGGAGCAGTGGGTGAGGCGTTTGGAGGACACAATACGACGCCACGCGAACCGCTCACGTCTGTGGGACAGTCAGAGCGCCTTCTACATTGCTGGCGGCTACACCAAGGAGTCGGGTCACGGCGGCAAACGGCCCAACCATCTGGAGCTGCTAGCACGCCGCGTTTCCGAAGCGGATGCCTACCTTCAGCTGATGATAGAGCAGACAAACGTGAGTTGTCCTCCCTCCCCCCTGCAGCGTTTTCCACGTAATGCCAACGAATTATGTAATTTAACGTCTGTTTTTTTGCAGTTGCTGGAGAAGCGCATTGCGGAACTGAGCGACCCCGAGGAGCAGGCCAAATGCAAAGCGCTTGAAGACAACGCCAGTGTAAGTAGGAAATTAAGTTACGTATGCGGCGCTGCCTCTGTGACGCCGATCTCCAGGTGTAGCTCGTCACGAAAGTCGTTTGAGAGCCTTCGCACTTCGGCATACGTCAGTCGCCAGTAGTTGGTGTCCAGTGGCATGAAGCAGTGCGTGTTCTGGCTGCGGTTGGCACGCCGCACGCGGATCACACTGCAGGCCCTGACAGCGGCATCGCGACCGCTCAAGTACAGCGTGGCATTCAGCTGGCGCCTGAGGTCCGGCGTGACCAGCCAGATCACGAAAATGTGATCCATGTGATCCGTCCGCCGCGTGTCTGACAGCATGGCACTGGGCTTCGTTCTGCAAATGAGCACCACAACGGGCACGTCGCTCTCCAGGTGCGAGTGCTGTTGCGGCAGGAAGCTGTTGTAGACCGCCCGGCGCTGCGGCCCCTTCTGTTTTACGAACTGCTGTTCCACCGTCCCGCAATAGGCCAGCAGCCCCAGCACCTGGTTAGCACCAAATTTGCAGCTCGCTGGCTGAAACGACAACACCGCGCGTTGGCCCTTGATCAAGCGGTGCACCTGCTGAAAGCCCGCACCGTCCTGCTCATGGTCGAAGAGGTAGTGCAGCAGGAGCAGCTGACTGTCCACTTGACGCTGACAGTTCTCAAATGGGCACTTGCTTGGTCCAAATCGAATAAAAACGATTTCGTCATTGCCTTCCGATGCTGGGCGCTGCTTTGACTCCGCCTTCGCGAAACCATTTGCCACTATAATGGCATTCGGCTCCAGGCGCGCCATGAGATCCCTTTGCAGCTGCTGGTGCCGCTCCTGCTGTCGCTCCAACTTCACCATGTCCTGCCGAATGCCAATCATATCGAAGTTCAGCGCACAGAAACTTGTCTGCAGATTGAGGCTGGCCATCTTGAGGCGCACGTCCTTCTCCTCGAGCCGTCGCGTGTAGGCCTCGACGCGGGCACTGACCTCAGCCATGCTGTGCTTGAACGGATCCAGCAGCTCAATGTCCGAATCCTCGGCCATTTAGGTTGTTCAAGTGTAAAATTGTAGACCAACAATTATTGTAATTTAATCAAATTACGAATTTACGAGAGCCTAGGCAAGGCACACTAGGCACCCACCCACCCACATCCCCATCGATTTGAAATGCAAGTTCAGGGTTAGGCCTGTGGCCAGATGCACGAGCTTGGGAGAATGTCACCCGCCCAGCAGCTGACAGTGGCGGTGTCGGTCTGCTAGCCAGCTGTCCAACCAACAGTCGCTTCTCATTTCCTTGCCAAACTTTGGCGAAGGCGAATCGATTGGCCTGCCCTGTCTGCAGAAATAAAATAAATAAAAGGAAATCCTGCCGACACTCTTTTTCCCCTGTTTGCAGGCCATGCTGGATCACATCAAGCACTCGATTGTTAGCCTACAAATTGCCAAAAACATGGCCCATCCCATCAACGGCATATACAACGGTCCCCAGACGGCCCCCTCGACCACCTCTTCGGGCAGTGGCGGCGTCTCCATCGTTGGCGGTGGCATGGGGCTGCCAAAGGATGTGCTGGCCGGCAAGGGCGAGCCAGGGGACGACGAGGATGATTCAATCACGGAAAACGGTGAGTGGTCAAGGGCTGGAATGCCACAAAATTTGTTTAGCATTGGAAAAATATCTCGGTGGGCAATTGGGGCTCAGGGTCAAGTGGGCCTCTTTTCGATTGCTCTTCGAGTTCTATTCTCAGCTGCTATTGCCGGTCTATTGCTAATTCCGATTTTCATTCCCATTCAGCCACCACAGCGCCCCTTGGTCTGGTTGTGCCCGAGACCTCCTACTCGAGCAGCGAAGGTGAAGAGGACTTTTACGATGCCTACGACGATCCCTTCACCAGCCTGGGCAGCTCTCCGATTGGCTGGTGAGTAGAAGCAGAGTCCGAAATGAAATTGCTGACGACTGACAGCCACAAGAAGTGTCATTCATCTGAGATCAAAGCTGTGTGGCGGTAGCCGGTTAACTTGATGCGTACACAAATTACGCACTCATTGGTCTGCCATTGAACTATTGCCTTGCATTGCCTTGCCTCCTCCTCTCATATGACATATGCCGCTACTCCTCTTGCCCCACGCGTCACAAGCCACCATCACAACCACTTCCTGCTGCTCTTTCATTTCGGACGCATGCGCCTGGGCCTGGTCCCTGCAGAATGCAATGCTTGACACCTTCCCTTTGGTAGTTCGTCGCAGTTGCAGCAGTTCCGGAGAAGTCTGTAATTTAGTCCAAGTCGCGTGTAAATAAGAAATACAATTCCCCCGACGACCCTGTCTGAACTTCTGCCCACCGACAGAGGAGGCCCATTCGTGGCGACACACAGCTGACGCGGCCAAAGCTTTCGTCTTCGTTTTCGTTTTCGTGGTGGCTTGTCGCCCGATGTTGCCTTCGTCTGCTTCTGTTTGTGTCTGTGTCCGTGACTGTGTCCATATAATCGTCCTGTCAGTTGTAGTTTGCGTTCGTCATCGGCTCGCAGCGCGTGTTGAAGTGCACAGCCGTACGCCTAACCCTCTCAACGACGGGCATTTTCAATAGTTTTTATTTTAGCAATGGCCGAAATGGCCTAGGCAACGCACAAACTAGCAGCGGCTTTCCTGCCTTTCGCTTTCGTTTGTTTTCCACACTATTCGTTGCCTGCTCAGGAGGATGCACGGCGGGGCTGTAAACCGCTTGGTGCACTGAAGCTGAAACAGCAGAGACAGCAGAAGAAGCAGCAGCAGCCTCAGCCGCCTCAGCCTACCCTCCCACGCCATGTTCAAGAAGTGGGTCCGACGCGTGAGTCTAAGGTGAGAGCAGAGCCAGCCCCCCCATCTGCATGTGCCAACATTTATAGTAATCTTTAGCTGTGTGTGTGTGTGTGTATGTTTGCGTGTTCTGCTGGCTGGCTGGGTCGCTGTAAGTGTTTCGTTTTATAAATTGTAAATGAAGCAAGCAACAGAAGAGGGAGGGGGAGGATGAGAGGCGAGAGGAGGCTGTCATCTCTCAAGTGACGCAAACCCTGACATCATGCTGGAGGATTTATGTCAGCGCATTATTTATACCCAAGCGCTCCGCGCGATGTCTGAATCCTAATCAACAAGTTCTGATTCGTCTTCAATTTGCAGCGCCACGCGGGGCTTCGCGGAGCCCACGTCGCCCACCCACGATGGGGAGGCCACTGGGTCGCCGACTGAGACGGTTGCCAGGACACTGCCGGAAATCGAGGAGACCGCTGCGGATGGGGATGCGGTGGCGAGCAGGGCCACCAAGTCGGCCAAGACCTCGATGAGTTCGCGCAGCGACAGCTACGACAATGGCATCGACTACGATGCTCTGTACGAGGAGGAGGAGGAGACTGACCTCAGCATGGAGGCGCACGGCTCGATGATCACCCATCTGTTGTCGCAGGTGAAGATTGGCATGGACCTGACCAAGGTGGTGCTGCCCACGTTCATCCTGGAGCGTCGCTCCCTGCTGGAGATGTATGCCGACTACTTTGCCCATCCCGATTTGTTTATCAAGTGAGTTAAAGCCGACCCTTAAGCAATGATGTAACAGAAACTAAATGATGCGACGTACATCCCACAGAATCTCGGAGCTGGACGACCCACGCGATCGCATTGTCCAGGTCTGTCGCTGGTATATGAGCGCCTACCATGCCGGACGCAAGAGTGCGGTGGCCAAGAAGCCCTACAATCCCATATTGGGTGAAGTCTTTCAATGTCACTGGGATCTGCCTGGCAAGTAGAAGGCTTCTCCGAAAGGTCTTCTGTTGACTGATTCAAATCTCTTTTAGACGAAGCTCAGGACACGAACGAGGTGCACGACGGTCCAGTGCCCTGGTGCCGTCGGAATCAACTAACCTTCTTAGCGGAGCAGGTGTCCCACCACCCGCCAAGTAAGAAAATTAATTTCTTACAAAACGAATAAACATTTAAGCGAGTGCCGCCTTCTGTTCTTTGCAGTTTCGGCCTTCTATGCTGAGCATTATAATAAGAAAATTACTTTTGCGGCCCACGTGTGGACCAAGTCAAAGTTCTTGGGCCTCTCTATAGGCGTGCACAACATCGGCGAGGGTGTCGTCACCCTGGTGGACCGCAGCGAGGAGTATATTGTAACCTTCCCCAATGGCTACGGCAGGCAAGTGCTTATCCCATTCCCCCGCTCTGACTTTACCTCAACGTAGAGTATTCTCTTTCGTAGATCTATTTTAACGGTGCCTTGGATTGAGCTGGGCGGCTCGGTGGAAATCAAATGTCCCCAGTCGGGCTACCATGCCAATGTGGAGTTCCTCACGAAGCCCTTCTATGGTGGAAAGCGCAACAAGGTCTCCGCTGAGGTTTGCTGTTTGCCTGTTATTAAATTTGAGCACTTAATGAATTAGGTTATTCGCAGGTTTACGCGCCCAACGAAAAGAAACCCTTTGTGTCCATTGCCGGCGAGTGGAGCGGTCTGATGGAGGCCAAGTGGCACGATAAGAATGTAAGTTGACCGCTGCCTCTTGTGTTGCCTGTGTGTTGTCGTCTATGTAGTCGTGTATTTACTGTACTTATTCATAATGTTTTTGTAAACGTTGAAACCCTTTTACATGTATGTACTTATCCCCCCTTAATGCCTACACTGCGCCTAAACTGCTGCAAGAAACAACCCCACGAGTTGGCAGCCACATCCTCTACACACTCTACATAACCCTCAGCCATCTCTAACTGTTACCTGTACCTCTCTACTTACTTTTCACGGTTCTTCTGCTTTTCTCTTAAATAGTTTGGGTGCATTTCCTGTGTATTTACTTTGTTTATCTAGAAAATTAATACTCTGTACCAACTGCCCACTGTCCAACTACAATATTAATCTAACCACGTGCTCGTATAGCTACTACTCCACTACTACTCCTGCCTGTCTGTCCAAACTGTTGTACATTTCAAAACTGTTGCTAGACATCTTCTATATGTTGTGTGTGTGTGTTGAGTATTAGAGTATTAGAGCTGCTCTGAGTATTGCTGTTGATCGCCGCCAAGTGACTGACCCGTGTCTGTGTGCCTCTTGAATTTTCTAGAAAACCGAAGTATTCGTTGACGTAAATCGCATACCAATATTTAAGAAACAAGTTCGACCAATCGTTGAGCAGGATGCATACGAATCGCGACGCGTTTGGAAGGAAGTGACAGCGGGACTCAAGTAAACAGATCACCAATATCCCAATCAATCAATTAACCCCGCAATACGGACACCAAATAATCTTTATTCTCTTTTTGCGGTCAATGTTCTTCCCACAGGTTCAACGACATTGAACGTGCCACCAATGCCAAATTTGTTGTGGAACAGCAGCAGCGCGAACAGGTCAAGGTGCGCAAGGAATACGATCTGGCCTGGGAGCACAAGGTAATCCAATCCAATTCCCATTCCTATGGCCAATCGCTGACAGAGTGTATCCCTTTCGTGCAGCACTTCAAGCCCGTGGGCGATAACTGGATCTATGCCAAGTCGCTGAGTCAGCGCATATACATGCAGGAGAAGGAGTCCAGAAGATAATGCATGCAACTGGAGGCGGCAGCGAAGACATTAAGAGCAACACCACAAATGTTTATACATATATATTTACATATATGATTCATATCAAGAACGAGCCTCAACTATATGTATAATTTCCACAAGTGCGCAAACCCCTGAACACTGACGATACAACGTAACATATGCAGGAAACGATGATGAAGCAACAGAAAGTCGGAGCAGACTTCACCGGAGTCTGTTCATTAATTGTAAATAAAAAATGTGCCCAGAAGCGGAAAACAGAAAACAGAAAAGCATAATCCAAGGCAGAATCATTCCATGGATTAATCAATCGAATAGCAAAGCTAGCAGAGCTCTTCTGAAACGGGTTGCAATACTTGAGTGATACTTGAGAGAGCGGCGGACACTCACTAGAAACTAACTACACGCTACACACACACAATTAACAATTATTATTTCCTAAGTACTAGTGTGTTTCAAAGGCAATCGCAGTAAGCTGCACAACAAAGAACACCAATTCAATGAA